AGGAAGCCCAGGGAGTGTGGGAGGAAAACAGAAGCACAACAGCCCTCTGCGCCTCCTCAGGACAAGGGCCGGCATGATGTGGTCGAACTGGGAGCAGAAAGAAATTTTCATTTTCAGTGAAGCTTGGAGCATTTGAATGCTTACACTTGAGTAGACATATTAATTACTAAATGGAATGTAAGTTTTTGTGAAAGCAATGACTGGATGCCTTTCTAGATAAGATTGACAAAAGAAGTTCTGGGACTGGCCCCAGTTTTATCAAGGAACAAGACAAAAGCTACAGAACAAGACTAATGGGACAGCCAGAGACCAAGAATACAATTCATTTTCACTACATACCACAAGTGCCTACTTGTTCAGTATGATGACAACTTTCATACACAATCTCAAAAACTTGGGATCATACTCGATATGATATGCAAATATTTTTTTCCTCAAAGAATAATATATCATGAAGTGTTTCATGAATATGAAGAAAATATTCATCTACAAGTTGAACATTCCACCATATGGACATGCCGTAATTTATTTATCCAATATCTATTCAATGTTTGCTCTTGCAAAGCATGCTAAAATCAAATATTCTATGCATAAATCTTTGTACACATATTTCGTTCCTGCCTTAAAGATAAATTCCAAGGACTGGAATTGCTACATTATTGGGTAGGAATCTTTAAGGTTTGTTATCTTAACCATCAGAGGCACAGGGTCCAGAGTGTATTTTCCCTGAGTGGTACTGAGCGGCCCAGCCAACCCTGAGAGGCTAAGCACTTCCTACAACCTAGTAGCTTCTCTCCCATGACCAGGAAGGCATTGATGACTCTTTGAGGGGGTTCTTTCCATACACAGTTACATAAGGGTGCGAACATAGCACCTGAACAAGCCCATTCTTTTTTCTACTATGAACACACACGAACACAAATTCATTGCAAAACATTTGTGCGAGGCCTCCTTACCTGAGTTCCTCACAGGGTTCATTTCTTGCAGAGGCCGTTTGGAACCCAGCCCAAAGCACAGATTATGGAGTTGGATGGGTCGGCCTTGGCTCTCCCACATACTAAACACCTCGCCGAAACCCATGTTACTTCACCTCTGCATCCTCAGTTTCCTCATTTGTCAACTTTCTCTCATGGTTGAATTATGTCCCCAAAAATTCATGTGTTGAAGTCCTAACCTCCAGTACCTCAGAGTGTGACTGTATAGAATCAGTTTCTAAAGAGGTAATTAAGTTAAAATCAGGTCATTAGGGTGGGCTCTGATCCAGTATGACCAGAATCCTTATGAAAAAGGAGATAAGAAATCAGACAATGCAGAGGAAAGACCATGTGAGGAGACAGCCATCTCCAAGCCAAGACAGGTCTCAGAAGAACCCTGCTGACACCAGGAGCTCATATCTGTTGTTTAAGCCACCTTGGCTATGAGACTTTGTGGTGGCGATATCAGCAGACTCATCTCTTTCCAAATCAGACTAATTCCTGAAAGTGCTTACCAAAGTGCCTCAAATTCAGTAAGTGCTCAATAAATGATGTCGTTAGTCGCCATTCTCTGTTCTTATCTTTAACAGAAAGCTGAAGCCATGTCAACTAAATTAGTGGTCCTCAACGGGGAGTGGTTTTGTCACTGAAGAGATATTTGGCAATGTCTGGAGATGTTTTATGTTGTCACAAATTGGGGGGAGGGGTGCCAGCATCTAAGGGGTAGACGCCAGGGATGCTTCTAAATTTCTAGGCACAGGACAGCCCCCCACCGCACCAAAATATCAGTATTGCTGAGGTTGAGAAGCCCTAAACTAAACCAACCCTAGTATTCACCTGGGTATCAGCTATCACATCCAGGCAAGACCCACATCCTGCTTGTGGAGTGCCACTTCTGTGTGGCATTTCCCTCACACTATCTCTGAGGTCATCTGCTATGTCAAACAGGTGGGCTTGGCCACACACCCCCGTCTGGCCGTCACAGTGCAAGATGATCAGGAGGAATCTAATTACTAGGTAATCAGCAGGCCTCTTCTATAATGCTGCTGCCCAACACGATTACAAATCTGTGAGGCAAACAAAATAAGCCTTTATTTGCTGCTCACAGCTTTGAGAAGTGGCTGGGGCAGTTCTGCTTCAGGCTGCAGATCGAATTCAGGTCTGCCTCATGCATCTTATTCTGGAGCCCAGGCTAAAGGAACCCCAAGAACTGGGGCACGTTCTTCCCATTGGTGGAAGGTCCCAGAGGGGCAAGCAGAAACCACGGTGTCTCCTAAGGCTCAGAACTGGCCTACTGTCACTTCAGCCCACATGCCACTGGCCAAAACTCATCAGTGGCTCCCTGTTACCGTAAGTCCAAATGTCTCAGACTGCCTTCAATCCTCTGTTTATGCGTCCGAGCTGGGAGCAGGAATTCGGACAGACCGTAATAGGCAAGCATTTTTTTAAGTCTTAGTGGAACACAAAATGGGCTTCACTGTAACATGTCCGTCATCTCTGTAGCTTTACTCTGGCTGTACTTGCAGTTCCCAAATGGGTCCTTCATTCTGTTTCACCAACAGGACGATGCAGATGCTGCCCATCCCCACCCTTCCCACCCAGAAGGCCTTCTCCCCATCTTCACTTGAAGAATTCCTCATTCTCCAAATCCCAGCTCATGTGTCTCCTTTTCCACAAAGCTTTCCAACCCGACCAGAGCTAAATTCTTGCTTGGTCTGTCACTGAACATAGAATCACCTGTCAGATCACTTCTCACATGCCATTGCCCTTATTTCTGCACATTTAGGGAGCAGTCTGAGGGCAAAAACTGCCCCGGCCATTTCAGGTCCCCAGTACCTCTGTACTCAATATTCATTGAACTAATGAGTGAGCAAGAAAATGAGTGATTCAGTGAATGAATGAATGAATGAATGCTGTCTCCCATCCCAGGTATGTATACTTCTCATTAATTTACTCAGAATGCTGGCTACTTCCTACAAGACATTCTCTCCTTCCTCCTTATGAACCAAAACCCAAATCTTAAACTGAGAACATTATTATTCATTATTCAACCTCCCTCACAACAAGAAGTGCTCATAAAACTAAGTTCTAGCCAATGATATATAAGCAGAAATGTTGTATGGGACATCCTAAATGGCTTAGCAGGGATAAGACAAGTCTCTCATTCCTTCATCCTGCTGCCAGGTGTCTAGATGTAATGGCAGGAGCTTTAGCAGCCATTTTAGACCATGAGGATGGGAGGTACACATGGCAGAGCAGAAAGATAGAAGGCGTATGGGTCTCCAATAATTCACAGCAGCCTCACACTACTTACCTCCAAAATTATTTAACAAAACAATAAGCTTATATTTTTAGCCACTAGAGTTGAGTCTTTTATTTACAAACAAACTTAATTCTAAGCATACTCCAAGGATTCCCTGACTCTTCATCTCAGTGTGTTATACGTCACTTTCCTATCAGTGATTTTGGCCTTCTCTACACAGTCTTAAAGGATTGGAGGGGAGAAAAGCCCATCCCATCAGCTAAGTCTTTGCATTACTGCTGCTAGCCTCTCTCTCTCTCTTGAAAACTCAGGGGGGAAAAAAATAGTTTTACCACTAAAACTGTGCCAGAAATTTTTTATAAATTCAGTTACCAACCCCTCTGGCAACAGGTAATTGTGGTCATCTTTCTTCTGGGCAATATTAATATTTTACACTTTGAAACCAAAGTCTGTGAGCACAGCTGTTATCCTCCACTGCTGCTTCTCTAAAGACCTTTCCATTTCACATGGAGAACTCCCCTTTAACCTCCCTCCACCCCATGCTCCCCAGGCCTTAGCACAGGGCCATGCTTTGTCCACTTCTGCCTACTTGACACATGCCAGCCCCCTGTGGCTGCTGTCCAGCTGTAGGGCCTCAGAGCTTACTGGAAAATTCCCCACCTTATCAAGCCCCCACCCTCTCCACCAGACCCCACACAGCCAGTCCTTTAATCCCTGACTCTAATTCCTCTTACCTACACCTGCCTTGCTCTAATCCAGTATCTCTGCGGAACAATTAGGCTTCCAAATAGAGGTGATTTCTTCCACTGCCTATCCTGCCTACAGCCAATGGACTGATAGATTCATAAAGTAGGGCAGAGACCACAGAGTTCACCCAGAACAGTGGTTTTCAGAGTATTTGTTTTAAACCTGGAACTGTCTGTTCATCTGAAATCTTAGGGGACTAAGTAGGCAAAGCAGATAAAGTTTGAGCCAATGAAACTGGGAGGGAGTTTGGAGGGAACCCGGTACTGCCTGCCCTCACCCCCTGCCCAGGAGTCTTAAGGGACACCCCAGAAACCAAGTGTCTAAGTGTCCACAGGGGCTCTTCCCTCTCCCTCCTGCCCCAGTGCACCTCCGCCAGGTGTTCACACAGACCATCCTCCCTCCAACCAAGTCCCTAAACAAATGTCACCCGTCCCGAGAGGCCTTTGCTGGCCACTTACCTGCAGTAGCTCCCATCCCAGGTCACATCCTCTTCTTTCAGGCTGCATTGCTCTTGTGTTAGGCCAGGTCCACCGAGAAGCACATGCCAAGATGGGATAAGAAGGCACAATGTTATCAAGGGAAACATGAGAGGTGATAAAAGGAGGGAAGAGGCCTGGGCTTGGAGGGCCAGCAGGTGCAGTGAAGGTCTGCTCCTGTGTGAAGGGGCGAGGGGAGGGGAGGTGGTGAGAAGTCTTAGGCTACAGTGCACTTCCAAGAAAATGTGGGCAGGTCCTTTAGAGAGTACGCAAGCTAGAGTTTCCCACCATCAAGGCTTGTGATGATCTTAGTGGCCCTGACAGGCTTCGGTACCGGTGGGGAGCAGCCCTGACAAGCATGGTCCCAGTCGGACTCTGTGATGGGTTTCAGAAAACAGCTTCTGGAGTGCTCGCCATCATCACACACCCTGCAGGATGAGGCCAGAGAGGCCCGTTCTCACACTGCCACCATTTCTCTTCAGAGCCCTTTCACTATCTGATGCTATATTTAGAATTTATTTTTATTGTCCTCCAGGCTAAAATGTAAACACTGTGACAACAGGGACATGCCTGGCTCATTCACCACTGTATCCTCAGCTCCTAGAGCAATACCTGGCAGACAGAAAGTGCTAAACCAATATCTTTTGGGTGAATGAGTGGGTGGGTGGGTGAGGGATGGCATGGGTGCTATCAAATGAAGGAAACAGTGTAAAGTTCACAAAGTTCTATTGTTGATTAAAAAGGAAACAAAGGAATCTTTCTGTCCTGGCTTGCACAGGGTAAGGGAGAAGAAGAGACTGGCATAGAGGGGGCTTCAAGAACGCTGTTTCCTTGGAAAAAGGACAGGATTCAGGCAAGCCATAGAGGTGAGGGGAAACTCAGCCAAGAGTTTCAGGATATAGAGTAGCTTGTTAGCTGTGGATTCCAAATTCATCCGGGCTGAGAGACTTAAATTTATTTCTCTGAAACTAAAGGGAAGCGAACTGGTGGTCATAAAAAAATGAAAATGTAATCTAACCCCCTCTCCTTAAAACACACACACACTCAGACATTAGGCCTCATCTTCGAGGGGTTCATTAACACAGGTCTGGGCACAATGTTATCGCCACAGCATCCTCCTCCCCACCCCCACACAAACGTCCACCGTAACAGTACTGTCACCTGGGTCACTTCTCTAGCTGCTGAGGTCCCAGACTCTGAGGCTCTCCGGCACGTGGAGATCTAACTTCACCATCTAAATTTCAGTTACTGAGACCTGAGGAGATTAGGATTAAGTTTGCATGGATGTGCAAATGTGAAAAGGGGAATCACTCCTCTGTGAGTCAATATGGAAATCTAAAGTGATTTTCCTCCCTTATTAATAAGAAAAACCAGACCAAAGCCCATATAAGAATGTCCGCTCTTAGTTTACAGGGGGTTCCAGAATAAATACATGGGCTCCCTCTGATACAACAAATTCTATTGATTTGTGTAACAAACCATAAAATTAAATGTATGTGCTTAGAGGACTGGGGCTGCCAGATGGATTCTCCGAAGTAACTGTGCCTTTTTGATTTGCTGCACCATTTTTAGCAAAGCTAGTGTAATGCTTGAAACATTTCAATAAAAATGGAATCTCACAAGCCTCCAAGAAGCTAGGGCAACCTCCAACTTTTAATAACAGAGTTTGGGCAGCAGCTAAGGACCAAAAGAAGTCTAAGAGATTTGATGACTTCAAGATTATGGAAGCAGCTATAACTTCTGTCCCACTGAGCCAGGTGACAGGGCCAAAGACCACAACAGGAGATGAGAAAGGCCTGGCACACTGTAAGCATCCACCACCCCTTCCTTTCCTCAACCAATGTACCACACTTTGACATACATGCTGGGCTTTGTTATAAGCTTTCATAAGGCCTGAATAAACTATCTGAATAACACTTGTCAATTCCACTGAAACGACATAGCATTTGTATCAGATCCTTCATTCCCGTAAATTCCCCATGGAGTTACCCATGTAAGATTCATTGACCTATTTCCCACTCCCCAACATTCCGGGGCTATCTTCTAAATGGGACAGATATTATCTGGCACATACTGTTTATTATAGCTCTTGGTGGAAAAATTATGGAAAAATAAATACTTGAGTGAATATTTACTGAGTGCATACTCTATGCTAAACACCAAGGATACAAAGTTGGGTATAAGATCATCTCTCACTACAACTTACTATGCTCCCTATAACTTACAGAATAGAGAAAAACACAAAGGCCATGTAAACATGATATGTGAAATCACGTAGAAAGTAACAGAATATCTCCCAAAATGTGCTTTAGGCAACAAGGGATGATCACTCTATCACACTTATCAGAAAGGCTGGAGGAGAAGCTCCCAAGTTGGTGCAGCCGCTCGGGGGTGGCAGGGATCTGCTTCACCTTCCCTGGGATTCTCCTGGCCTTCTCTTTCCCCTCAGAGCAGCAAGATGGCTGCTGCAGCTTCAAATGTCACTTCTCACAGAACTATATTCAACGACAGAAATAGAAAGGAAGGGTGTTCTCTGCATCAGTCCGTTGTTGTCATAGAAGAAAATCTATCCCCAGAATCCCTTAGTAGATTTCCCATTCAAACTCTTTGAGCAAAACTGAATCACAGCCCAGACCTTAGCTGTAAGGCAGGATGGAAAAGAGAGCATTGGGTTTTTTCAGCCTCTGTCGAAAGGCAAATTCTGCCGGCAAGTAAATGGAAGAAGGAATGGTTGTGGTGAGCAATGAATAGGGTCTGATGTGTACATCAGGTGCAGTGACAAAGACGCACACAGCCAGCTGTGGGCCAAGGAGGAAGGACACCGCTCTCCTTCAGGAGGAGGATTCCGGGAGCTGATAAGACCTGAGATGAATATTAACAAATGGTCAGGATTTAGCAAGGTGAAGATGAGGATAGAACAAATGGGGTGGACCAACCGAGGTTCCAGGAAAAGGAATGACATGAGCAAAAGCATGGGACTGCAGAAGAGCGAGGTGTCAGCATCAACTTAGTACTGCTAGAGCATCTAATGACAGGAAAGGAGTCTTGGGACATGCCAGAGGCTGGGTCACAAAGGCCTCCTGAGCTATGTGCAGGGGGCTGAACTGGCGACATAGCCCAGAGATGACAAACAGAGCCCCGAGGCCAAACCCACCCTCAGATGTGTTCTGTTCGGCAGCCCCCCAGTTTGCTCTGAATGTAATAACTGGAGCCAAGGTGCCTACCCTGCAGCCGAACCCATTCTCCTGCCTCCCACCTGGCCTTCTTCCTTCATCCACATCATCTGCCTGCTCCCTCAAGGCCTTTGAGTTTGTCTCCCCTGCGGAGGCTCTGGGGAGTCATTAAAGCATCTTAAACAGGACAATGGAACTTCTAGTTCTACAAGTTATATTAATTCCTCTGGCAGCAGTGTGAAAGTTGTAGTTACAAGAACCAGACTGGAGATAGGAAGACAGTGGAGGTATGTTTTTCAGGACGCTTGGCTCCAAGTGTCAGAAATGCAATTCAAAGCAATGCAAATTATTACAAAGAATATATTACTTTATATGGCTTTAGAGTCCAGGATTAATTTAAGCTTCAGATATGGCTCAATCCAGAATTCACATGATGAAAACATATCCTGCCGCTCTTCTTGCCCATATTCTGACTTTATTCTCAAGTTCTGTTTTTCTTTATTCTCAAGTATTTCTTGAGAATATCCTTAATTTTATTCTTTACTTTAGAAAATACACCCAAGAATATTTTCTGTATTCTCTTCGTCTTTATTCTCAAATTCTCAACTCGGCTTCTGAAAAAGATGATCCCTGGGAGCTCCAGACTAATGTGATCTTTAAAGCCAATTGTCTCCAACAAAGGAGAACTTTTCCTCCTCATGAGTCTAACAAAATTCACAGGGAAGACTTTGATTGGCCTGGATGGATCATGTGACCATTCGTGACCCCCAAACACACAAGACTGATGTAAGAAGAATGTATGGAGCAAGACAAAGAGTGGCCAGAAGATGGATTCCACGTAAAAGCATGAATTAAGAGAAATCTGCAAGGTAAGAGTGGTCAGAGAACTAAATAGAACCAGGATCAAATGTCACAGATACTGAAGAAAGAAAATTGTACCATTGAGTGGGAAGCTCCCTCAAATGCAACTAAGGCATATTTCATTAAAATAAAGAACTACAATGCGTTCGTTGGATTGGTTAAAGAGTTGATTCTGATGACAATACTTTGGTGGATTGAGGTGGGGTATTCGGCAATGGGCTGAGGAATGCATAGAAAAAGAGAAAGTAGAAACAGTATTGTAGATGATGTAAGAAATATGGCTGAAAGAAGTAAAGATAGGTTACAGAGAAAGATAACAAGATCAAGGTAAGTTATTTTAGGTTTTAAAGAGCTTGAGTTAGCAGGTGGGAGGGGGGTCTGGAGACAAAGAAAAAGGAGTTATCTTTTTTTTAAAAGAAAGATTGATGTACATATAACTATTAGAAATATCAATCAGGATGTATGGCAGCTAAAAATCCCTGAGGGGTGTCTATATCCCCCTATTTTGGGTGTCCTTCACCTTCATGGTGACTGAAGAAATAGGAGGTCCTGCCAGCATTGATACATTCATTCTTTCTTTCATCATTCAACAAATGTTTATGAAGCCACTACCCGGCCAGGCACAGGTCTAGGTGCCAATGACCCAGCAGTGAACAAAACTGACAGAGCCCCTCCTCCTATGGGTGTTAGTGCCTCTGACATGTGAGTCCTGGATCTCCTGGGGATCTGACTCGACTTCCAACACTTTCTGAGCCCAAAGGCAGGGGCATCTGGACACTGGATACATTTCTGGCAGCTGGGAGTTGGTTTCCCTGGATTACCCTAAACTTCACAGCTTGCAAACTGCCTACCCTTTACCTGAGCAAAGGAAGAATACAATCATTTCTATCTCATCCCCTTATCATCTTTTTTTCCCCTCCTTATTGAACCTGGAGGGCATCAGGGGAAAAACAAAATGTCCCCAACCCTAATCCCAAAATGAGATTAACTTCCCCATATGACTCGCCTAAAAATCACTCTGCACTCCTGCATCCCTGAGAAAAGCGACCAGGAGTAACTATTTTTCTGGGCTATGGGTGGAGATCAAAAATAGACACCCAGCCTGACAGAAGCAGAGCAGGAAGGCCTGAGTATATGGGCTCAGGAGTAAGACCGCCTGGGTTCTACTTGTGGTTCCCACTTACCGGCTTTGACACCTTGAGCAAGTTACCCTGCCTGAAAGATCTCACACTGGCAAATGGTAATAATAATAATAATAACAGCACCTTTATCAAACACCATAAACGAGATGCAGTTATTTTTGAAGCGACCACATGGGCTGAGAGTGGGTAAGGTACATCCTCACATGAAAGTTGGGAGCTGTGGCCAAAAGGAAAAGAGAACGACTTCTATGGCAGCACACATCCAATGTTCACTTCATAACCCTATGAAATAGTCTTTACCTAATAGTTTGCCCTCCTTCGGACCCACTCAACCTGAATGTGGAGAGGCAGGAAGGGTAAGATTTCTCTGTCCACTTCAGAAATCAAGGTTGGTACAATTCATTCTTAATGCTTCATTCTGAGGCCAATTGGCTTATATCATATGTTTAGAGAAAACCTATCTTCTCTTAAAAACATAACTCGGTCTAACCATCCGGTCAAAATTTCGGTGAAAAATTGAGTTCCTGCAACACGTCAAGTAAAGTGTCTTACCATTTATGACAGGACAGCTGTGGCCTCTTTTTCCAAGAATGAATTAAAGGATCTTATTACCCTAAATGAAAATGAAGAAAACATGATTATTTTCCTTTTAATCTTTTATCCCTCAGTGGGAATTTACATAAGATGGAGAGTAATCCATACCTTTCATGCCAACAGCGTGTCAGAAAATCTCCACTCTTGTTGTCTCCATGACAGCAACCCTTAACATGAGCAGAGGCTGCGTTTGCCTTGTGAAGTAGATTTGACTTTTATCTGGTGAATGCGATCAATGTAGACAAGCACATTGGATGACTCAGACTTGAGGTTATTCCTGGGTCTGTGTTCCATGTGTGTTTTGGCTCGCTCTACTGGTTCAGTGTACCCAGTGAACTCAAGTCTGTTACTTTATGTTTTGGTGAAATGGTCTGAGAGGCCTCCTGGCATTTGGAAGGCTGGCTTTTACCCTGTACTGATAATGGAGTATTTTCCAGTTTTCTAAGGAGATGATGCCTGCAGACTCACTTTCTGGATCAGGGAGGACTGGCCCTTCAAGCTGTTCTCTCGATACTAGACCACTCTTCTCAGCTCACCTTTTTGTGATGTCCAAAAAAACACTGACTAGGTACTGATAATAGGGCTCAGCCATTGCAGGAATGAGCTGTGATAAGGCTGAATGAGCACCCCCAAACGGGAAGGAGACCCGTGATCTGCCCTCAGGGGCAGTCACCAATGGAGTGGCCATGGCCAGTGCCCTCAAGTAGAGATCAGGCTTTTCTTAAAGGGAATTTAAAACCTCTACTTGTTTGGAGCTGTGAAAGACTGTTTAGAGAATGAAGGACAAGCTGCAGAATAGGAGAAAGTATCTGCAAATTACCTATCTGACAAAGGCCTCTCAAAACTCAAAAAACAAACATACAATCCAATTAGAAAACGGCAAAAAGGCATGAAAAGATATTTCACAAAAGAGGAGATACGGATGGCAAACACGCATAAGAAAAGTTGTTGAATGTCATCAGGCACTAGGAAAATGCAAATCAAAGCACAGCGCTGCACTCCTACATACCTATTAGAATAGCTAGAATGAAAAACAATGACAATATCAAATGCTGATGAGGATACAGAGAAGTGGAATCTCTCATTTACCCTGTACTGATAATGGAGTATTTTCCAGTTTTCTAAGGAGATGATGCCTGCAGACTCACTTTCTGGATCAGGGAGGACTGGCCCTTCAAGCTGTTCTCTCGATACTAGACCACTCTTCTCAGCTCACCTTTTTGTGATGTCCAAAAAAACACTGACTAGGTACTGATAATAGGGCTCAGCCATTGCAGGAATGAGCTGTGATAAGGCTGAATGAGCACCCCCAAACGGGAAGGAGACCCGTGATCTGCCCTCAGGGGCAGTCACCAATGGAGTGGCCATGGCCAGTGCCCTCAAGTAGAGATCAGGCTTTTCTTAAAGGGAATTTAAAACCTCTACTTGTTTGGAGCTGTGAAAGACTGTTTAGAGAATGAAGGACAAGCTGCAGAATAGGAGAAAGTATCTGCAAATTACCTATCTGACAAAGGCCTCTCAAAACTCAAAAAACAAACATACAATCCAATTAGAAAACGGCAAAAAGGCATGAAAAGATATTTCACAAAAGAGGAGATACGGATGGCAAACACGCATAAGAAAAGTTGTTGAATGTCATCAGGCACTAGGAAAATGCAAATCAAAGCACAGCGCTGCACTCCTACATACCTATTAGAATAGCTAGAATGAAAAACAATGACAATATCAAATGCTGATGAGGATACAGAGAAGTGGAATCTCTCATATACTGTTGGTGGTGATGTAAAATGGCAGAGCCACTGTGGGAAATAGTTTGGTAGGTTTTTCTGAAACTAAACACACACTTACCATATAACCCAGCAATCACACTCCTGGGCATTTATCCCAGAGAAACGAAAACTTCTGTTCATACAAAAACATGTACATAAATATTCATAGTAGCTTTATTCAAAATAGCAAAATACTGAAAACAACCCATCCTTTAATAGATGAGTGGTAGAGCAAACTCCCATGTGTGCATATGATGGAATACTGCTCAACAGCAAAGACAAACTATTGGTACAGGCAACAGTCTGGATGGCCTTCAAGGGCATCATGCTAAAGGCCCAAGTCAGCGTGTAAAGATGACATACCTTTTGAGGTGTGATTCTACTTCTATAACATTGTCAAAATGACAAAACCGTAAAAATGGAGAACAGATCAGTGATTGCCAGGGGAGACGGGAGGACGGGGAGGCAGGAATATGAGAGGCAGCATGTGGGAGTTCTGCTGTGGCAGAGCAGCTCTGCATCTTGGATGTGATGGTGGTTGTATGAATCTGTATATGGAATAAACTTACATAGACATGAACACACACAATGAATGCAGGCTTAAAGAAATGTAACAGCAAAATAAGGTCTGTAGTCTACTTGACGATCATGCATCGACGTCACTTTCCTGGTTTTGATATTGTCCTAGAGCTTTATAAGATGCAACCACTGGGGGTCATGGGGAGTGGAGGGTATGTGTGACTCTGAGTTATTTTCACAACTTCCTGTGAGTCTATAATTATTTAAAAATTAAAAGTTACAAAAAGCCCTTTATTCATCATGTTCTTTTATTTGCTTATTCCTTCATGGTGTAATTCTAGTGATAACCCCCCATGTCAAAAAAACAAACAAACATACAGCAGATCCCCTTGTTTATTCCAAAGCATTTCCAAGACCTCTCCTGGGCCTGCCCGTGATCCATCTGGATGCTTGTCTAACACTCTGCCTTTGACAGAAGCATTGAGGGTGGATGTGATTTGTCCCTTATGGGTAGGGCCGCAATAAGAGCATCTTTCAGTTTCTGAAGACTCACTCATCATCCATGACCTCATCCAAACTGTAAAGGACTTTATCTTTTCAAAAAGTGCCACTTCCAAAAATAATGAATCCCATGTGTTTATGACCATTGTTTGAAACCACTCACATTTAATATTTGTAATTCTTTCAGTCTTTTGAAATGTTATGAGCACCCCTCTTAACTGGGTCTTTTGGAGTTAGGAAACAAGTTTACTTACAGGCATACTTTCTGTGCCCTTCATGAATTCACAGCATTAGCTTATTTCTTCAAAGCTTTGGTCTTTCCATACTGAGTCATATCCTTTGAGCTCTTGCTCAAATATAGGTTCCTCTTAATAATTTAGTTTGCCTCTTCCAATAGTCCTCTACATGTCCTTCCTTGAGCAGTAGAATGACTAAAATTATGCCCATTCCTGCAAGTGCTGACCACTTAGGTTTTGTACAAGATAGATGGAACCAAACTTGCAGGATCTTGGACCAATGAAAGGCTCTTTTACTTGCTAAGTTTTAGAGGTATGAATTTTTCTTCTACACTTTTTTTTCTTGTCTTGTTCTTTTTTACCAATTGAAATCATTATAAAATGAACATCAAGGACAACCTCTATCAAAGGAACTGAGCAGCTGTGCCCAAGGACATCAGACGGTGGGGAGAATGTTTCCCAGGTGCCCATAGCCGGCTGAGACAGTGAAAGTGGAAAGGTGAAAACGGCAGGCATTTACATCATGATGTCAACATATTTCAGCTGCCAACTGTGAGCTGTCTCCGTTTCTTCTCTCACATGCTCCTCAAAGTGGGAAGCCCAGAGTGACCCCTGGGTTTGTTAACCCTCGGGACAACTCTGAAAGAAACCACAACTTTCATTTGGTTTCTAATGCCCCTCTAAATAATGAGCAGGATTTTCTTGTTCTGACAGGAAACACAGTGCATATATTTAGCAAACAAATCTACAGTGAATATCATATACATTTTCTGATTGGTAACTGACATCATTTTATGATTTGTTTGGATCTGTCCCCTTTTAATGTTTTTTTACATCTTCCTATCATACACTCTTGCTAATTTGCTCAGTTGTTCATTCACTTGTTTGACATCACTTCTCTCCTGCTCATTATGGGCAAGTCCCTGGATTATGCCTTGGGGACACACCACACACATACCCGTGGCAGTCCCTACACTCAAAAGGATGCTGGCATTCCTTTAAAGGGACACATAGCCAGCCCCAGCCAATGAGGACATCACATACTCCTGGCTACTGTGATTGGTTCCTAGTTGGCACATGTCCAAACACGGTCCAATCAGAACCCACAAAGGCTCTCGTGTGAAATTTCCATGACAACCAGAAGCTCTTCTGTGTCTTCCTCTTTGCATCCCCAGCCTGTAGAAGAATGCCTGGTGCAGAGTAGACCCTCTACAAATATTTTTGAATTATCAAATTCCATGACTTTTGCTTGAACTGTTGAGAAACAGATTGCATTTTTCCTGCTGTCCCAGAAGCCTGACAGGACTCAGAGGATGGAGGCTGAGACTGAGCCAACAATGTGGAAGCCATGCGGGAAGGAGACACATGATGACATTACATGAGCCCTGGATCTCGCCATGCCTGAAACCAGGACTGCACTTGTTCTTCTCAGTTCCCTGAACCAGTAAGTTTCTCTTTTGCTTAGTCAGTATTTGTTTGGGTTTATGTCAGTTTGTTGACCAAGTCCTAACTGAAAACAATGAAGAGTCATGTCCCACCCTTAAGCCAGAATATTTCAGCCCCTTGGGAGGAGAAATATGGAGCACAAGAGAAATATGGGGGTCTCAGTGGCCAGCCTCCCCACAGATGGGCTGTGCTGAGGTCACGTGGGAAGGATTCAATGTGAGGCCAAAGGACAGGATTTGGGACTTGGGTTTTCTGTTGAATAGCTCTAGGGCCGTGAATGTGTCAATTAACCTCTCTGGACTTCAGTTTCCTCCAGTATGAAATGAGTGACTTGGCCTCAGGGATCCAGTTCTAAAATGGTGTATGACTACCTGTGCCACTATCACCATGGGGCAGCCAGCTGCTGCCGTTAGAGTTGCCAGGAGTGATGCCAGCTGGGGAGGAGGGGTGATGGCAGCAGGCAGCGGGACAGCAGTGGCACGGGGATGATGCTCATGATGATGGTGGCGTCATAAGGTTGCTCTGGTGATAACGGTGCCAGGATGGGGTGGCTGCAGTGGTGGTCACAGCACATTAAAACTGAGTCTCTTCTCCTCTCCCCCAACCCTCAGCACCACCGTATCTGCTTCTTACAACTGCTTCCAAATATTAGAGCTGCAAGGAACCTCAAGGAAGCTCCTGGTCCTGCTTGGAAGCAGGCAAAGCTCTGTCTTCCCTTTAGAGATGAACCCCCAAATCTCAACATTTTCGAGTGATTTTCCCAAAGCCACCCACTGGTGAGGGCAGTGGGGTGCCAGGTACAAGGCTTTCACCAGCATATAACTCTGCCCACTTCATGCCCAGCTTCCACTCCTAGTCGCCTACACTATGGACCCCACAGCAGTGGTTCTCATTCCTGGGCATGCACTGAAATAGAGAGTTCCATACCAAAGCCCCAGCCCCCTTCCTGACCACTTGAATCAGTATCTAGAGACAGGGTCTGTTATGAGCTGAATTGTGTCCCTTCCCCCCCAAAATTCCTATGTTGAAGCCCTAACGCCCCACCCAGTACCTCAGAATGTGACTGTATTTGGAGATAGGATCTTTAAAGAGGTGATTAAGTTAAAATGAGGTCTTCAGGATGGACCCTCATCCAATCTAATGTCCTTATAAGAAGAGGAAATTTGAGTTACAATTACAGAGGGAAGAGCCTGTGAAGACACAGAGAGAAGATGGCCATCTGCGAGCCAAGGAGAGAGGCCTCAGAAAGAACCACCCTGCTTGGGGTTTCCAAGACAATTTGACCTTGAATTTTGACACTCCAGAATGGTGAGAAAGTAGATCTCTGGTGTTTAAACCACTCAGTCTGTGGTACTGCGTTATGGCAGTTCTAGCAAATTAGTACAGGATCTGTGCCTTAGTATTTCTTAATTCTCTCCAGTTTATTCTATTGCTCAGTCCATGTCAAGAATGAGTGTCCTGTAAGATAAACCTACATCCCTAGCCTCAATCAAGACACTGGCCACATTTTACCTGTCCAACCATACAGGGAAGATCTCACTTCCCTACAAAAGTTCCCGACTACAGTCAGGACCTTCACCGCACCATCTCTTTAAGAATGCCATACTGGTTCTTGACACCATTCACGCTCCTGCTGGCTGTTTTCCAGTCCCAAAGTCTTCACCTCTCCCTTCCCCAAACCACATGCAATTCAAACCTTTATCAAGCATTTAGCAGATAAGGTGTTATGATGCTTAATCAAGTGATATATTTTAAAAGAAGAGGCTTTCAGGCACCTTTGCTCCTGAGCAAGGTGGGGAGAAGTGCAGGCAGGTATTTCAGCTTCCCACCACTTCTCTCAAGTTACACCAACAAGAATCCTATCGGAACCACCTACGAAAAGCATGACATTAGTTTTCTGAGGGCTAGAGCAGGAATGTCCACTGCCAGAGTTAAGAAGGGGGCAAAGCTCTTTCTGTGGTCCTCTGTTTAGGGGAAGCACCACGAAGGGACTGATGCACACTCACCCTGGCAATCTTCGGCCTGTGTTCTCAGTTCCTATGCACAATTTTCTTTTGTCTCAGATTGCCGTATTAGTCTACTAATGCTAATGAGAAGGTGTGTCCCTTACCAATTAAATGCATGAATTTTGCACTTAGAAGAACCTGGTTCAAATCTAGTTCCTCCACCTCCTGACTGTCCAAAAGAGAAACCTGAGCATATGCAGAAGAGTTTACTGAGTGTTCTTTCAGTGCAGTCCTGGACTTGACTTCCTACTGACTAGGCAATTTGCATCTCTGTAGGAGCAGAGGTTAACTTGTATATTCTAGTCCAGTAACAATGAAAATAATTTAACTCTAGTAAGAGAATTAGTTCCAAGGATTATGGCATTTAGCCCTGTTGGACATTAAACCGCCTTTTATCTAACTCAAATCATTGCTTTAACGATTTACCACCACTAGGGGCTGGACACAGTGTAAATTTATCCTATTCTAGAAGCCAGAAGTCCAAAATCAGTTTCACTGGGTTAAAATCAGGTGTCAGCAGGGCTGGTTCCTTCTGGAGGCTCTAAAAGAGGGTCTGTTTCCTGGTCTCTTCCAGCGTCAAGGGTGACCTGCATTCCTTCATCCTCAAAGCACATCCCTCCAACCTATGCTTCCACTCTTCTTTCTCTCTCTCTCTCACTCTAACACTCCTGTCTCCCTCTCATAAGGATGCTTGCGTTTACACAGGACCTACTCAGATAATCCAAAATCATCTCCCATCTCAAAATCCTTAATGACACCTGCAAAGTCCTTTTTACATGTAAGTTAGCAACATAGTCACAAGTTCCAGGGGCAGGACGTGGACATTCTGGGGGGAATGCATTATTCAGCCTACTACACTTTCCTTCAATTTCTTTGTTAAATCGTCTGCATAGTCCTAAATTCTCTAAAGCTCTCTGTGTAAGTTTTAACATCTCACTGGTTCTTGTACTAATTAATCAGTGAAATAAAATCTTTGACATAGGATCATTTAACATTTGCCTGAGAGTCATGATTTGCATTTTTGAAAATTATACTTACTGCAGCTCTGTGACTCTAGCCAAGTTGCCGGACCTCTCCAAGCTTCAGTTTACATCTCTGCAAATGAGAATGAAATAATAACAATAATAATGACACTTAACTCTGGGGATTGCTTGTTGCAGGGAACAAATGAGACAATGTGTGTAAAACAATTGGTCCTGGACCTGGCGCATTGTAAGCCCTCAGTAAATGAGGATGCCGATGCTGATCCCAATGAAAACAAGGCCACGTGCTCCTGCATTCACCCAGTATCCCCGCTTCCCCTAAAATCAGAGTGCTGTGCTCGGTGCTCTCTGTTTTCCCAGACAGGTTTCTTTAGCTTCAGCTCCAGAGCCATCAAACATCAGGCACTTTTGTTCACTTGGCAAAGAGGGCCCCCCTCTAGGTGAAAAGGATAGTGCAACCCCACCGGAGCACCTGGCTTGACAAAGGGGTGCTGGCTGGTCTTGGGTCTCTGCTTGCCCTGCCCCCAATGGCGGGCCCCTCTGTGGCACGTACAGACTGCATGGGGAGGCCCTGACTGTGATTTTAAAACTAACCGCTGCTGGTGATTCTTATAGGAAACTCTCCACTTTATTATCTAGACAAAAGCAGAGTGACGTCCGAGCAATAACCTGAGCAGAAAGGCAAGCCTTGTCTTGGCATTGATTTCATGCCAAAACATGGCAAATTCACTGAGGAAACTTATTAGCATCAATAATAATATTTTTGCACACATACACTCATGCGCAAAAAAAAATCTAATTCTTTCCAGAACAATGGGCAGTCATCATGTAACAGCTGCACTGGCCAACCTTTCCTCCCAGGGCACACACACTGAGGGATGAGGCTCTCCATCAACATTGTAACCTACAGCCACAGAGGCACTGCCCACAGAACTGATTGAACTCAGGGTCATGTTGACAATTGCAAACATGTAAATGTGCTGTGTAAATATTTATGCTCACCCTATTTTTTAAAAAAATAAGAACAAGGCTTAATATGAGCAAGCCTTGCTACTCAAGTATGGTCTGCATCAGAGCATCTCTATGACCTGGCTGCTGCTTAGAAATGCAGTATCTCAGGCCCCAACCCCGCCCTGCCAAATCAGAAGCTGCATCATAACAAGATCCCCAGGCAATTCAAATGCAGAGCTTTGAGAAGCTCCCCTCTGTAAGAACTTCTGAGCGTGAGCAGTGCATGGTAACATCATTCTGAATAGCTGTCTCTCTTTGTAAGGAAAAACCACACCATTGCTACAAACCAGCAGGAATATAAGAGAAAGGAGGTCACTGGATTGTTCTTTCTACAAACATTCATTAGGATCTATTATCTGCCAGACACTATTCTAGATCAAGAGATGAAAAGAAAAAAAAAATATGAAAAACCCCTGCTTTGGAGGATCAAATGAATGAGTCTATACCACATCGGATGGCAGGAACTACTGTGAAGAAAAGTGAAAAAGGAAGAGGGAGAGGGAAATTTTTGCAATTTTAAATAGTATGTTCAGGATATATTTGTGCAAAAACCCAAAGGAAATGAAGAGACAAGCTTTGTGAATATTTACTGGAACCGCATGGTAGGTAAAGGGAAGAGCAATGCAAAGCCCCAAGGAAGAGAAATTAAAGCATGTGTATATGCTTATAAGAGTGATCCATTGATGATTGCTTGAGGGAAGAATTGCTAATGATGTCCTTGACAGGTGAAAGAGGGTGAAATACAGCACACGAGAGAGGCCAGCCCAAAAGAGGAGCATAGAGGCTTTGATCAAAAATGTGAGGGAAGGCAAAACATATAAAATCAGATGTGGATAAACTGGGAAATAAAGTGGTGGGAGTTCCTGGACATTTCCTCTGTTGTTTAAGATTTCTCCTTGAAAAAGGTATCAAGTTTATCACTTGAGAAAGAAGAGGGGTGGTATTAGAAGCATGAGGAGTGACGATAAGGTTTACAATAGCTGTCTGGAAGAGAGAACAGAAGAAGGAAATGCGTGCCGAGTAAGCAGCCCTGACTCCCCGTGATTGAGCTTTAGCCAGGTACCTACAAAGAAGGGAAAAAGGGACACATTTGTTGAGGCTGTATGCAAGGGAGTGACTATAATAAAGGATCTTAGAATTTAAGTTAGATAAAAAGGACATGAGGATTCAAAAAAATAAAGGACTGGGAAAAATCAACAGGGTCACTGGACGGCAGGTCTCAGAAAGTCAGGCAGGCACTGGAGTCAGGAACTTAAAAAACTACACTAGACAGTTAGAAGGTGGCAGAGAACAGGTTCTTGAAACTGCAATTCAAAGGGGACACCACAATCAGTGGTGATTCCATGGTCCAGGCTGTGCTGTCCAACGTAGTACCGGCATATCTCAGGGATGTTGTGGGTTCAGTTCTAAACCACAGCAATACAGTGACTATCTCAGGAATGCAAGTCAAATGAAATGTTTGGTTTCCTAGTGCATAAAAAGTTATGTTTATGCTATACTGTAGTCTGTTGAGTGTGCAATAGCATTATGTCTAGAAAAATAAGTAAGTATCCTCATATTAAAATAATTTGTTAAAATGTTAACCATCGTCTGAGTTTTCAGTGAGTCATGATCACCGATCACAGATCACCATAACAAATATAATAATAATGAAAGTTTGAAATATTGCATGAATTACCAAATGTGACAGAGACATGAAGTAAGCAAATTCTAAGTCTTCCCAGAACAGTGGGAAAATGGTGCCAATAGGCTTGCATGTTGCCACAAACCTTCAGTTTACAAAAAAACGCAATAAAACAAAGTGGAATTTTTAAAAATGCCTGAAACTACAAACTACATGGGGCTATTTAGGTTTTAATTAATTAGTGGCCATTCTATTGGACAGCATCATAAAGAGTATTTCCATCAAAACAGAGAGTTCTACTGGACAGCACCCTTCTAGGGAATGACCGTGGGAGTTTGCGGCTCAGGTAAGCCGGTGGAGAAGGTCGCTGTAGGGCACTGGGTTACACAGTACTGGCATCGCCAAGAACTGGGGCAGTAGTTTTGGAGAGTGACAGTGAGCTGGGAGCCAAAATCTTCAAGGTGTTGGGGAGGGTGTGCTCAAAACTCCAGCAGCTACTAGGCGGACTTAAAGGTTTGTGTTTTTAATGAGGAGATGGTAAAATTATATAGAAGAGCCACAACCAGTTTTTGGTATAAAATAGGAGAAGTGAGTAACAAACCTGGAAATGAAGGCTCAGGCCAGCTCAGACTAAAGGATTTAGAGTTTTCCAGGTAAGCAACAGACAGAATTTATTTACCCTTGAATTGGAGCATTCACATGTTCTAAAATGTGAAAGTTATCATAGGGTATTAAGCAAAATGTTTCCTCTGTTTCCCAGCCATCCAGTTGCCATCTCTGGAGCCAGCAAATATTACTTACAACTTTCTTGTGTATTATTCCAGAAATTACATATATATATTTTTTTAACACAAATGGTAGCATAGTATAAAAATTGTTCTGGTAACTTTCTATCTTTCCCTCAACATTGTATGATGTCCCTGGAGCATTTAACTGTATACACCAGTGGTTCTCAACATGGTTGTTCAGTAGAGTGGCCTGGGGAGATTTTGAAAGATGCCTAGGAGTTCCAGTTAGCTATTTATCTCTAATAAGCCACCTCAAAACTTAGAAGCATGAAACAATAACTGTTTTACTATGCTCACAATTTGGGGGCAGGGCCCAGAATTGAGTCTGCTCCACAGTGACTGAGGGCCTCACTGGGTGGTTTGGGTGGCTTGGGTGGCTCAGTTGGAACCACGTATCTAGGGCCTTTCTTCCAGCATCAGCTGGGCCCCTTGGTTATCATGTCTGCAGACACTAGAATGTCCAAGATGGCTTCCTCATTCAGATGGGTGGGGCCTGGGCTGGGCTGGCTGCCCCCACTGGGACCAGACGGACCTCTTCCTCTCCCTGGCTCCCTTTCTCCCCCACCTCTATGCAGCTCACTTGGAGGTCTCAGACAGTCAGACTTCTTACATAGCAGCAGGCTCATCCCAGAGTCAAAGTGCCAGGAGGCCAGTGCAGAAGCTACGAAGCTTCTTATGACTTGGCCTGGGAGGTCTCAGACCATCTGTTTGATCCTATTTTATTGGTCAAGCAGGTCCCTAAACAAGGGCTATTCCTATTTAAGAGAAGGGGAATTTTACTCTACCTCTCAATAGGAGGAGTGGCAGAGATTTTGTATTCATTGTAGTGTACCACACCCAGGTAACCTGAATGTGCAACCAGGCTTAAAAACCACAATGTAAATGTACCAGACCTCATCAGCAAGCCCCCCATTGATGGATATGCAGGTCGTTTCAGATCTGTTGCTATTATAAGTAATATATCAGTCAGTATGTATAAAAGTCATCATTCCACACATGGGTAAGTATGGCTGGAAGATAAATTGCTGAAAGTAAAATTGGTGGATTAAACATCAGGCACTGGAAGTTTTTGAGTGGTAGAGTGACACAATCAAGGCTCAATTTTAGGAAGCCCAATCTGTCTGCGCTGCCCAGGATGGAGCAGAGGGAAAGCGGGGCTGTGGGCAGAGAGACCAGGCTGAAGGCGGTCAGACTGTCCTGGGGAGAGATCATAGGTAGAAGTGTATTGGAAAGGGACAGGTGGACGGAGCACCAAAATGCTGTGATTCCTGTTGGCACGTGATGGAAGACAGAGGCTAATGCGCTGATGGGCTTGGGGGTATTGCTGACATGCGCTGCAGTGGACATGGCCAGTTTCTTAGGATAGGAGAGACTTGAGATAATACAAAAGGGATGAGAATTTTAGTAGGTGGTGAGAAAGGGGAAGACAACCTTGGGCCAGCACTTTGTGTGTTAGAAGACATGGAGGGAGCTGCTTCTTGAGACAGGTAATCCAACTCAAGCACTTAGGGCTTAGGCAGTGCCTGTCACATAGCAAATACTCAAAACTATGATGCATTATTATAAGAATTGCCTATCAGAATCCTAATAAATTAGAACATGACTCCGGATGACAACTGTCATTGCTCTACTTCTAAACAGACCCATATGGAGTGGGAAAAGCTTTGACAAGGTCCTTCAACCTTAGGC